CACTGGGAAAAGTGTGCGATGCAAACAGACTCAAAGCAGCTCCATCCAATAATGGAGGTAATTCGGGAAGTGATGCTGTCAGCAAAATAAAAGTGCATCATTTGTCACACTTAAATATGAACGCAGGGTTTTCATTAAATATGATACACGTCTCGTTATCTGGAACCATGTGAGCGGCTCCGTACAGAACAGAGAGATCAAATTCAGATAAATTCATTAAGATTCAATTCTCCCTTTATTTGTTTGTCTGCCCTTGGGACATGTTGACTCATGCGCAGGAAATTGTAATTCTCCACATGAGATGCTCCTCCCCCTTCTCTAAAAAAAACCCCCAAACTTTTTATTGTCCTTGACTTCCCGCTCTCACCTCCTCCGAAGACTCGAGGTCTGAAAAGTTCAGCGGAGTCATCAGACTAATGGGACGGCACATAGATTGGCAGCAGAGATCCCCGAGGGGAGGAGGAATAGGAAGGAAAGTTAAAATGAGAAATGGAACAGGGGCTGATAAATTCCTGTCAGCTCCAGGGCTGCTGAAACTGACCCGACGCTTCGACCGCCTCAAGCACGATGTGGAGAATCATTTTTTGTGTGTGCTGGAGTATTAATAATATTTAGGAGGGCATTGACAGGCTGGTTATAATCCTGCAAAGAAAGTGGCACAAGGACCAACAGCACTTGGTGCATCTTAACATAAAATTAAAGTCCTGCAAATTCTGCATAAAATACGTAGAAGTTTTAGTTAATTTTTCATGCTTTTAAATTCATTTAAACCATTATTTTGTAATGTTTTCACATATAAATTGGATAAAATAATCTTGCCTAATATAAAAGAATATGTAAAAGTTTTACAGAGAGATGCCCTGAAATCTGTGGAGCATTTTATTGCCTTTCAGCCCATTGTTTTGGTTTTACAACCAGAAACGTTCCATTTTTTTATTGCAGTAGCTGTGATGTACTAGACCTGACTGTACAAGTGAGACATATTGACATCGTAGTAGAACAATCTACTAATGCAGGCCATTTTACGATGTCCCCACACAAGTGATTTCTGTTTCTTTGCCCTTGGGGTTGTTTTGGTTTTTCTTTTCGTCAGTTCCTTTGGCTGCTGTTTTTCTTTCAAGAGTCTGGTCCAAACAAACGAGGAAAACAGAAAGCAGTGGAACGAACAGAAAGACTAATCAAATTTGGTGGCAGTTGCTGGGAATATAAATGCTAAATCCCACAGGCCTGCAGACGAGTCAGCGATGAGCTCGTACACAAACACAGTAAGATGTTTAACACAAATCAGAAATGGAGACCGTTTGCCTTCTTGAAGTTGCTTTCTTTGAAATGTGCAACCAGCATAACTTTTACTTTGAAAGTGAACCTTCTTCACTTCACTTCTTCAAATTTAACTACCAGTGGACTAGTAGTTA